CCCCCCGACCAGAAGTTTAGGAATTTGGGTAGGAATTTGATGTGTGTACAGTGCCTACAATGACTGTCATCCTAAGTCAGGACTTTTGAGTGCTACTGTTTTTATATATAATTTAAAAAAAATCATTAAGGCTCAAACTGGGATCCTTGGTGAGACTGTGTGGTATCAAATTTATGGTGTAAATAAAATTAGGAAAATATCTCCTACCTACTAAACTTGTTTATTGACTGCTGCTTATTTGTTATGTTTTAAAAACTTAAGAATTTCTTGTATTTTTATTAGGAATGTGCTGCTACAGGAGAAGATTATGAGAGGGTGAAGTTGTTAGAAATCAGTGCTGAGGATGCAGAAAGATGGGAAAGAAAAAAGAAGAGAAAAAATCCAGACATAGGATTTTCAGGTAAGAAACTTAATTTTATCTATTTATTTTCAAGTGTTGAGTGGGGAGTTACACATATTTAAGCTTTTTTTTTTTTTTTAATATAATGCAGAAAAGGTCTTCTGCTAATTGCCTTTCATTTTATTTTAAAGATTTTGCAGCTGCTCAGTTGCGCCAATATCATAGGTTAACCAAGCAGATCAAGCCTGACATGGAAAAATATGAAAAGCTAAAAGAAGAAAAGTAAGTTTTTCTTTTTGGCAGACCTATAATTTATTTTTTAAATGTCATTAACTGTAAATATGAATTGCTTTGATGAACTAGTGTCTAAATTAGTAGAAAATTCTTAATTCATGTAATTCAGACATTTCATCTTATCTATTCTTTTAGGTGCATTTCAATACAAATAACCTGTCACGCTCCTATGACAGTCATATCCTGGGTGATACTGTAGATATGTGTAACCTGTAATACACTAGTTCAAGTTTGATGTCCCTATACCAAGGGTTCTCAAACCTGTGATACCACAACCCCTCCCATCAGTTGTTCGCGACCCACAGTTTGAGAAATGCTGCCCTATACCATTTTGATAAGAGAATTATATACAAAAAATTAGTCATGTAACAAATTAAAGTTTGTTTTTCTACTGTTCTACCTCTCTCATTCAGTGGAGAAGAACTGTATCCAACAGCAAACAGTCTTCTTCATGGAACTCATGTACCATGTAAAGAAGGAGTTGATAGAATGGTTACAGATCTTGAAAAACAGTAAGTTAACAAGATATCAGATCTTTGCATTCCTAACACACAATGCCTTTACTGTTTAATTTGCTGTAGTGTGAGCATTCCTGGTGTGGTGTCTGGTAAATACACCTCTATGCAGAAGCTAAGTGTACAGTCAATGTAGCATGCCCTCTAGATGAATCTGTACACTAGCCTATATATACAGGATTTTTATGCATTTCTGTATGCATTGGAAGAACATGTTGCTGCATAGTAGATGCCCTTGCGTATTTTATTTTACATGTTGATTTTCTTTAGGCACATCAAAAATTATTTTGGAATGAAATTCTGGCACCATTCAGTAGCCAATTAGAAAATATCAATGATGTCAAACAATCTTTTTTTTATAAAACTAAAAAGATAATGCAATGCTTTGGTATATTTATCCTAATATGTAAATGTGTTCAGTCACTAATATTTTTGCTTAACTGCTCATGATAAATATGACAACAGAGCATGGTCACTTGGACATTAGATTTTAACAAAACTTAATGGAAATGTGCGCTCTCATCATAATGGGAGCAAGGAAATAGTGCTATATCCCATCAACTTTTCTCCTGCCAGCTCCTAATCATAGAAAGAGTATAGTACTCCCCACATATTTCCTTTAAAACTATAACAATTTTTTAATATTCTAAGTACCTAAAATTCATCTGGAGATCTCATCTAAAATAGGAAAAAATTGTTTTTTCACTGTTATCCATTTTTTTGTGTAAGGGTTACTGACTGAAGTTAGCACCTTTTCATTTTACTTCAAGAACCGGAATTCAATTCTTAATATTTTTCTGAGTACAGGCAGTCCCCGAGTTACGCGGATCCAACTTATGTCGGATCTGCAGTTACGAATGGGGCTTTTCTCGCCCCGGAGGACGGGAGCGGCGGGACCCCCAGATGAGCCGCGGTCCCGCCGCCCGCATCCTCCGGGG